GCTCAGGCCACACTCAATCCGGGGCCGACCTCAGAAGTTACTCTTTTTTTCGAATCCGTGCCCTTTTCTTGACATCTCTGGTTGTCCTGGGCCGATGACCCCCCTGCCTGGCCTGGCACTTGTCAGGCACCGTATTTCCTGATTCTTTCAATGTTATTTGATTTTCTGTGTGCTGCAACTAAAAGGATTGTTTGGCACTGCATTGCACACGGTGCCGAATGTGTGCTGCACACGTACCCGTAAAAAATGGCCGGGAAATCCTGGCCAACTGAGTTATAGGCCAATGCTTGGAAAGACTTCAACGAAGTGTTGAATATGTGCCTCAGACTTGTTCACGTGGGAAGGTTCATTTGGTGGAGCGGGTCCACTTAGTGCAAGGTTCACTTAGTGTCCCGTAACCATTGTCACGTGGTGGAGTGGGTCCACTTGGATTTGTTGACTGACGTATCTGTCTGCTATGCTCTGCGTTGCTTGTCTGTCCAATGTCCTTGCCAGGGCCCTCCTGCACTTCTTGGAGCCAACAAAGTTTAGTGACAAAGAGGCATTCCTTGTGCAGTATGGAGATATGAAGAGTGAGCAGGAAGTATGACTTTGCTTGCCTTCGTTTTCTTTTGTTATGGGATGTTAAGAGTACCGATGATGGTGATACCGTGATAGTCATTGAACCAGCTTGAGGCCCTTGTTCACGGACGTTCTATGGGAGGTTATGGTGGTTGAAGGATGAAGATAACTAGCCATGGTCTTGCAAAATAGAGGTCTCTGTGAAGTTGTGCGAACCTATGTGCATAAAGAAGTGTGGGAAAGCTTTCTAAGATTAAACCCCACTGCTTCCAAGCCTCATCTTTTGAATTGGCGCAGGGGGATTGTTGTATAAATGGCATCTTGTAGTGGATGTTTTACAATGTCCTTTGTCTCTGTCTCGCTTTGTCTCCCTGTCTCTCCCTCTCAGGTTTCCATGCTAGCGACGTGGAAATGCATACACATACACATATGCAGGCAGAGGTGGAAATGCGAACACAAATGCACACACTTAACGAAACGCATATAGGACAGCTTGAATTTGACAACGTGCTAGCATTTCTGGTCGCCCTGTTAGTAATATAGGCATTTTCGCATGGTCAAACAGATGGCCACACATGCACACCCTCCCTTTTCCTGGCGCAATATCCTCTATTTCTCGCTGTGTGTTGCTGTTGTTCGTATTCTCTTCTTGTTCCAGTGTGTTTGTGTGACGTAGAATGCGGGTGTGTGCACGGTTCTGAAGGTGCGCATGTGGGTTTGTGTGCTGAACAAAGAACAGAACAGATGTCCATGCGGAAAGTGAGTGTGTGTGTCTGTGTTTGTGTGTGGGTTGGTGGGGGGGAGGGGCGGGGGAGGGGCGCACACGCACTGAGAGAGAGAGCACACACACACACTCTCAGAGAGAGAGAGAGAGAGGGAGAGAGAGAGAGAGAGAGGGATGTGCTAGTTTATGTATAATATCGTGCATGTTAGAATAGGACATGCATGTGATCGAAAGTGGATTGGAACATGCGCTTTGACGAGATGTGGGTCAAAGGCGTGCAAATGCTGGTGAGTGAGGCAAGGTAAGTCTTGGACCTGATATTCAAACAGCCCACTGTGCTTCATGTGTGTTTCCTGAACCATGTTGCAGTTTGCAAAGCTCCACATGGAGTTAAGGCCACATCTTCTCCGGAGAGAGATCAAGTGTGTGGAAAAGTCGTTGCCTCCAAAAATTGAGCGGATATTGCGAGTGGAAATGTCCCCTCTTCAAAAGCAGTAAGTTTGCTACCTTCCCCGCTTCAAAAGCAGTAAGTTTGCTACCTTCTCCATCTTCGATACCGCATTTTCAAGAAAGCGGGTAGTGTGCCGCGACTTCTATGCAGGGATCTGAAGTACCTTGGTGCTGTTACCACCACGAGCCCAGCCCTGGAGAGTGCAGAGGTTCTCGAGGCTAGGGTCTATTTTTGAGTTCAAGAGTGCAAAGACATTTGCAGAAGTTCAAGGACCATGCGACGTCAGAAACAGGCGGAGGCTTGCAATTTGTAGATTCTTCCCTTGTGCGCTGGACTGTGATAACCCGCCCCCTCTCCCCCTCTCCCCCTCTCCCCCTTCCCCACGCCCCTCTTCCCCGTCCACAGGTTCTGTTTATGAAACCCATGATGGGTTAGCAAGGCTATGTGCCCATTTGAAACAGTCGTGCTCCTAGACATCTCCTTCCACCATCTATCGGACTCCGACATCTCTGCTCTCGTTTCCAACTAACGGGGCGGGTTGAAATCTATTTTAGTATTTTCCTGTTGACACAAGTTCTTTGCAGTGTGGGACTGGTCTGTACGGTGCTTGCAGATGCACTGGTGGTTTAATATAGATCATCACTTTTACCCTGCAGGCAGTGCACGGCACTAGAGACCACACAAACATGCTACCTCAGTTGCAACACGTGCGCACCTCATGCACACGAACATCGCGAAATGAAATTCCTATTTTCTTCCCCCTCAGAGCAAACATTCTTATATTCTTTTGATTCTTCAAGGATACAAACTCGTCGTCTGTTTGTGAACATTTTATGTGGCACCATTCAGCTACATGATTGGGATCGGATCAACTCGAGGTCAGTGATTTATACTCTGATGGCACACTTACATGTCCGCAAGCATGAATCTGCACATCATTACGATGCCCTGAGACTACGGTAACACTTGTCAATAAGACTAAGCATACCCTGAGATTGACACCCCTGAATGCACCTGAAGCGCTTTCTGGACATCATTACAGTCAAGCACATGAAGAGGACCATATACACACTGAGAATGACACCCCTGAATGCGGCGGATGCTTTTTCAGATGGTTAAAAGACTGAAGTGGACGAATTGCTGACATACCAGACAATAAACAGATACAAAATGGCTGTAGTTCATGCACTTGGGTGGAGAGGAAAGGGGCACGTGGAGGAGGAGATGCCCAACGTCGGAGAAATGTGGAGAAGTGGGCAGAGGTTGAGGCGATGATGCAATCTAGAGAATGAATCAGCTTTGAGCTGATTAGGCACAGGGTGACCGTTTTGTTCGACGTCTCTTGGATTGGCTGCTGAGCACTCTGATCATGAATGGTGAGGATGTGTGTGAACTGTTTCTCAAGTGCCTTGTGGACCCATTGGGGAATGTGGTAGCAGCAGTGAAAGCTTGTGTTTGACTGAAATTCTTATTAGTTGTTACTGCTGAAATTATGCAGGTACTACAAATGGATATTGGAGCGGAATTTCAAGGATCTGAACAAGGGTGCAACCAACCAGGTGAGCTGAGGAAGATGGCTTCAATCTTACTGGGCATTCTAGAAGGGTTTTGGTATGGGCTATATGCATTGACTTGCTTGTTTCTGGGTGCCCGTAGCCTCTCTCTTGTCGAGGCTGTACCATGTGTAGGATAGATTTGTAATTTTGTTTGGCTGAGGGCTAACCGAGAGACCCGCCTGTAAGGAAATTCGTCAGGGACATATATGCAAATTCGGGAAAATATAGACCCATATTAACTAGAATTCCCTACAGCTATCCTAACTGCGAAATGCAGGCCCATGCTACCCCTAGGACAGACGGGCCCTAAGGGCCTAAGCTGATAGACGGTCCTATAGCCTATAGCCGGGTTGGGAGAGGCCCTAGAGGCCGAAACAGAAACGGTACCGGTCGGTCAGTCAGTCCGGTGTAGGTGGAGTCTAGGCTAGAGTAGACTATAGATAGGATGGACATCTGTTCAGGGCTTTTGGCGGTTGGTACCCAGTACATCGCTGCTGTGCAATGTGTGAACCGGAAGTGGTGACGGCTCAGTGTTGAGGGAGACAGACGTAGCCAGACCTTTGGAGTGCCGGCCATAGCTGGGACCTGCGCTGTACTCTGTCAGCACGCGGGGCTGTACAGAGATCTGGGCGATTCGAGGTCTGCTGGAGGCGAAGAGAAGTTGGTACCCTGCTGGACCCTCCTCCGGAGTAGGGATACAGGGTTGTGGCACTGCAGCCATAGCTGCAGCTTCTGTCTCAGCTCTCTCTCTCTCTCTCTCTCTCTCTCTCTCTCTGCCCCGCCTTCCTTTTCGCTGCGCTTGCTCGATCTCGGTTGTGGCGTCCTCTCTCTCTCTCGTGCGCGCTTTCGTCGGTGGCTTCCTCCTCTTGCACGATCATTGCTTTTGCGCGATTGCATGTGCGCTCTTGCCCCGGCCCGTGAAATATGCTAAGTCTTGTGGTTCTAAAGAACTTCCCTACTCAAGGGAAGTGGTCCGGAACGAGGCCCACCCGAATCTCGAGGGTTTCTTTCCCAACACCGTTCGATGGTGCCCTCGAGTTTCATAAATCACGACCCTGTCGTGACCAGGTTTTGGGGTTTAGCAACGGGCGGGAAGAGCTCAAAGGCGGCTCAAGTGCAGCCGAGCCAAACCTAACCGTTTTTTCTTCTTTTTCTCCTTAAAAAGGCGACGGCCCTTGAGATATCATCATTGAGCTGACCGGGCCCAGGCAATTTAGAAATATTTGGTTTTACTCTTCAGGTACCTTCATCTGGTTCGAACTTGGGTCTGTATTTCAACAGTTCCTCGGTGTACCCACTGAGTGCTGCTGCAGACTTCCACGCGGGAAGTCTTCCGACACTTCGGAATCATCCGATACTGTGGCGCTGGTCCTCTTCTTCATCCTCTGAGTGGCCCTCGGCCTCAGAGGCCTGTTTCAGGGTGGCGCTTCCCTCTGGAGGCTGTATCTGGGTGGCGCTGGATGTTTCAGGGACTCAGGGGTAGTAATAGCGGTTCATCAGGGTTAGGGAGTGAAGCGCTGCTCATTTCTGAGCAGCGCATCATAGTTCTGAGGTTATCCTGACTATTCGAGACTCTTAGTTTAATAAACAGTGTTGATACTTGGCTGAATCGTTTCATTGTCTCTTGGATGTGATCTAATTGGCTTTCCTTTATGACTGGTTGTGAGGATTGAGTGGAGTGAACTGCACTTTCAGTGTACCCTGGCATATCGGATGGTCAAGTCTTCCACTGCGTTTCTTTCTCCCTGTGCGGTGTGATACTCATATCCTCTCCCCTTCCTTCTGTGTATGTATGGGCATACCTGGGAGCCTATGTGAGTGAGTGTTCGTCCTCAGACAAGAGACAACCAGAATCATAACATGTATGTGCTATAGGTCTCAGAGCCCCCTCTGTCCGCGACCTGCCAAGCGAGAAAATGGCAGATGTGTCACGCCATATCCGACTCCAATGTACATTCGACATGTTTGGATTCGGCAAGTCGTGGAACGAGGTGATTTTAGTCTGCCTAAATCAACCTACAGTTGGTGTATATCGATGAATGTCATCAGAGCTTCCTTCCACCACTTGCTAATTGTGAAAATGGCAGGGTTTTGGTACGGGCCTCTGGAAGGAGTCTCTTGAACAAGGTGCTCTTAATCTGCTTAAATCAATCTACAACGGGTATATATCGACAAATGTAATCTGCTTGATAGTAAGTGGTCAAAGTCGCAGCATGCGATCCCACAAAAGTCAGTAAAACTTCCAGATGCATTGAAGGCTGACGGCATGCAGTCCCACAAAAGTAGGTGAACCTTCCGGATGTTTCCAGTGCAGAAAAGTCAAAGTCAGGGAAGTACAGAAGTTTGACTGCTGCAAAGCATCAACACACTTTCCATTCCAAAATATCAAACAATACAGTTTCCATTCCAGCTTGCGGCAGAAGTACTGTCGTGGTCTTGTGCTTGTGTGGTATGCTGTGCACTGAGGTGTGTTCCAACTTCCAAACTTTTGCGCTGCGTGTCTAGTGTACCCCATCAATTGTTCCAGAATTTTTTGAAAGATTGGTTTTGTGGGGAGGATTTCTTCGGTTTTGTGTGCAGTGGTGCACCTGCATGTGCGCACTTTGTGCACACACTTTGCGGCACAAGTTTTGTTTAAAGTGCGTATTGTGAAGGGTGTGCAACTGCTCATTTGATCTGTCTGAAGCAATTTCGTCTACCCATTGCTGTGTTTGCAGTGGACTGACCATGCTGCATGTGCGCACTTTGTGCACACACTTTGCGCCACAATTGTTGTTTCAACTTTCAAGTGCATATTGTGAAGGGTGTGCAGCTGCGGGCCCATTTTTCAAAGATGAGATAGTAGTGTACAAGTATCATGCGATGTTGTTGGCTTCATTTGATCTGGAGCTATTTTGTCTACCAATTGCGGTGTTTGCAGTGGACTGACTACGTGCAAAATCTCCTGTGAATCAATCCATGAAAGGATAGGACTTGTAAGAGCCTCAAAGAAGTTGAGTGCCCCTGGAGGTCCTTTGCCTGCCAGAAACATTGGCAGCATCTGGTCAATCTGGCCCGGTTAACCTGTTTGAGAACTTTGTTTGTGTATGACCTCAGGTATTACTGTGGGCTGTTTCATATGAGAGAAATATGGGTATCTACTATCTGGTTAATTTACTATTTTTATCCTGTGCGAAAACTTATTCATATGGCTGCAGGTTTCCTTGCAGAACGTTGTGGTTGAGCTGAAAAAATGCTGCAATCATCCTTTTTTATTTGAGAGTGCGGATTACGGTTATGGAGGAGCTGCAGATCTAACTGATCGAGGGAAACTGCAGCGGCTGACTCTCAGTAGTGGAAAGCTAACCTTGCTCGACAAGTTGTTGACGAGGCTCAAGGAGACGGGTCACAGGGTGCTGATCTTCTCTCAGGTCGGACATTATACTGTCACGCTCATTCTTCCCGTACAAACCAATGGGATTGCCTTTTTGACCGCTGTGTTTGTAAATACATGTAAGATTATCTAAGGGCGGAGAAAAAAAGCAGGGGTAGGCAAACCCTGCTGGTTGTTTCAACTTTTTGGCAGTGGTGGTTAGGGTTGCATCCCTGCCGACCGCCAACCCCGACCGCCGACCGTATTGCAGATGACCAGTAGTGCCGACCGGTTGGCGGTCTGCCGACCAGTCAGGAAAAAAAAAAAAAAAACATCCACTGATTAATTTTCAAATCTGAGTTGGGGTCTGTACTGCGCTTGCTGAGAATAGCCCAAATCCGCTGAGAAGCTTTTGGGCGCCATGTCTGCTCGCCCGCTACAACGTACTCTTCGACCCTACGCCTACAACATATGTGTACACGCTGTGGCTGTGACAGCTTAGTTTTGCAGACTTGCCGCCGTTCTTGTCAGCGGTTTGGAACAACAGTCTGCTAGGATTCCAGGGTTGGTGTGAGTAAAGTCTACCACTTTTGCAGGGAGTATCGCTAACTCCAGGCAACGTGGTCAGTCCTTATCCATCACTCAAATGCATCCAGGGAAGACTGTTGGGGTTCAACCTCTTGATGAATTGGTGAAAGTCCGACGAAATAGTCTGGCACAGTGATGCTTTTTTTGTGGACTAGGATTGCAGCGTTGGTGCGCGCAAAGTCGACCACTTCTTAGGGGTATGGCTAACATGGTGAGTCCTTATCCATCAATCAAATGCATTCTGGGCAGACTGTCTGGGTTCAACTTCTTGATGAGTTGGTGAACGAAACAGTTTCTCACAGTAATGCTTTTCTTTGTGCAGTTGTGGTATGGCAAATACTACGACACACATGAACTCAGGCCCATACACATGCACCTGTCCGCTCAAGCACATACCGGGCGTGCACAAAAAGTGTGTGTGTGTGTGTGTGTGTGTGTGTGTGTGTGTGTGTGTGAGAGAGAGAGAGAGAGAGAGAGAGAGAGAGAGAGAGAGAGAGAGAGTTATGTGTGGGTGGATTGGACACCTGCATAGTTAGGTGGGAAGCTAACATTCAGATAGGGTGTGTCCTGGGAAGGGAGCGCAGGAGCTGATGGGCGGGGGTTGAGAGAGAGGGAATTGAGGAAGACGGAAGGTGAGTGAAGGAAGGGGAGGGAGGCCGGGAGAGAGAGGAAGGGAAGGGGCGGTTGATGACTGGGAGAGAGAGGAAGGGAGGGGAGGGGAGAGCGGGAGTTGATGGGAGGGAAGGCAAGTGAGGGTAGGAAGTGCAATCCACTAGCAGGGGGGGGATAGGCACAAAGATACACCAGACAGACGCCTGACAATGCGAAAGTGGGCACTTGTGTGTTTTATCGATGCTTCCGTGTGTAGTATATGTTTGGCATTTTAATATTTGAATATCTATCCATTTCAACAAAAAGGCAGTAGGTTTCTGGTCCTGGTGGAAATTCGGCCTGATTATCATGTGTTGTGTTGTGCAGATGGTACGAATGCTGGATATCTTGGCAGAGTACCTGGGTCTGAAAGGTTTTCAGTACCAGCGGCTGGATGGGAGCACAAGGGCAGACCTCAGGCATCAAGCTATGGAACACTTCAATGCTCCAGGAAGTGAAGACTTCTGTTTTCTCCTCTCGACACGGGCAGGTGGTCTGGGAATCAACCTCGCAACTGCTGATACTGTTATCATCTTTGACTCCGATTGGAATCCTCAGAATGACTTGCAGGTAGGTGCGTATGCTTGTCGGCATTCTCCATCTGCTCTCCTTGCGTAAGCGTGACTGCTGTACGGATGGCAAAAGGATGGGTTTAAATGAGTGTTACCTATCAAAACTGGTTTGTGGGTTTTGAACGTAGCAGATGTGCTTGATGTGAGATTCAGCACTCTCACCGGTCGTATTGTGCACGGCCGTTTTATGTGGGGTCAGCAGACACGGGAAGATATGAGAACTGTGTGGAGTGGAACGACCAGTCCAGCTGTTGCCTCCGGATTCTTGCAGCCACATACAAGATGGTGGGGGAGCCAGTGCAGTTGCCACTGAGCCACAAAGTGTGGAGGAGGCTGCGGAGTTAAATTACCAGTACATGCAAGCTATAGGCCGTGGGCGCCTTTAGGAAGCTGCCCGCCGCCGATTCATTTTATCTACGGCACTCGACCTCCTAAATTTTCGGAGAGGCTCAAAAAAGGTTCTCCATTTGCCTGGGGCCATGTACTGGTGGTTTAAAAACTGGGTTTGCGGATGTCTGTAGGGGGGGGAAAAGGGTCAGCCAAGCCGTGACTCAGGTGCACCCTGGGGAGATTACAGAGGAAAACTGCAGCTGTGAATGTGAGTGGAGGCGGCAGGTTCTTTGTTGTACATGCCACTTCTTCACCATATTGCCTGAGGTTTGGCGAGTCTAGCCTTCGGCAGCAGCTACGGCAGCAGTTCATGGATCCGCACATCTAGGCCTAAGCACGGATTCGAACCAGCGGTCTTGACCTCAAGAGTGGACCCATACCGTTCGTGTCATCCACTCCACCCCTGCAAGGCTGTATTGTCCAACTCCACACACCACTCACAACACCACACGGACAGGGCAATTCTTGCACACTTCGCTCCTCATCTGCGCTCAACCCCCCCAGTGGTACTTACCCCGCCGACCACATCTGCGCTCCTCCGTGCAAGCACGGATTCAAACCGGCGACCTCGGCCTCAAGAGCCAAGTATCTTAACCACTACAGCCAGGACACGGTGTTCAAGAGTGGACCCATACCGGTCATGATATCCACCCCAACCCTGCAAGGCTGTAGTGTCCAACTCCACACACCACAGCAGCTACGGTCTAGGACGATAGGCGTAATCGGACAAGAGAGAAGCATGGATGAAGAAAGCATTAAAATACTGATTCGCTACACATGCAGAGAGCAAGGAAGAACTGCATAACTGCAGCTGTGGATGTGACTGGAGGTGGCAGGTTCTCTGTTGCAGATGCCACTTCTTGTCCATGCAAAGGAAAATACTATAATACTGATATTTGCTATGTATCATGTATGTGTGAAGAAGGAAAAATTGTAGGCAAATGTTTTGTGCATGGATGTGGACCACATGCTCTGGATCGATTGCCGGTGTCTCTGGAATTATTCTCGGACAGCAATAAATGATAATAGGCCTTTTCCTGCATTGGAGGTCTGTGTGGGCACAAACATTGAGGGGATTTGCAGAAGGGGTGTTTCCCAAGTGGCACCTGCAGTTGGCAAAATCATGAATTTGTTTGTGGTTTGAGCTCACATTCTTGACAGAAGCTCAATTTATTCTCTTTTGTTTGCTTCTATGAAGTTTATGGGATAGTTTTCCCCATTTTGGGCCCTTTGTGGGACTGAGTGCACTGTGTGCCGTTTTGTTCCTTTCTTGGGACTGAATGCAGTGTGTGTACATTGCTGCTTTGTGGACTGCGGTTGAGATCTCTTTTTGTTTCTTCGGTGAAGTTTCTTGAAGAGATCCACTCCCCCCCCCCCCCCCCCCCCCCCGGGCCCGCCCCCTGTCCTTTGTCTGACTAGGGGCCGGAGGAGGACCTTTGCTGTTACCAAGTCTCTTTCGACTTGATTGGCACTCGCTGACGGCGGTGAGTAACTTGCTCTTTTCTGATCTGTGGTGGGAATATCTTTTTGTTTGCTTCTCTCAAGCTTCTTGCAGTTTTCCTTCTCCTCCTTCCCCCCCCGGCCCTCCTGACCCCCTTTTTTTGTTTTTTGGCCCTTCGGAGCTGGCATCATGAGGTGGAGAACATTGACACTCATTGAATGCAGTGTGTAAGAGTCTACTTTGAAGTGTGTGCTTTCGGAGCTGCGGTGGCAGTCTTGTTGACAAATGACCATCGACTGGTGTGGTTCTTGTGGTTGTGGCCTTGGGACCAGGCAATGAGCCGAGCACATAGAATTGGACAACAGGAGGTTGTGAACATTTATCGTTTTGTAACAAGCGGTAGTGTCGAGGAGGACATTTTGGAGCGAGCAAAGCGAAAGATGGTATGGTATGGGAAGTCAATACTGGGGTGAATTTACAGCTCCTGTCATTTCCAATGGCCTCTGTACAACTTAGTCGTTCCTTTTGTTAGGCCATCCTCACATTTTCAAATTTTGTGATTGAATCCGATTATTCTTCAAGCTGAAACTGCAACCTGGAAAGTCCCAGCTTGAGTGTGCCTTTAGAACATCGAATCTTGAACTCCCTTCCCGGTTTTTCTGTTTTATGCTCTGTTGTCGGAACTGCTTAACGTTTCTCCTTCCCTGAAACTGTTAGTGGGTTGTCATATTGTCACACCTCGCTCTCCAGCATTTTGGAGATCTGAAACAGGCAGAAAGAGGATGCTAAGTGGTGCGCTGTGCCCTCCTAGAATGATTTTCACTCACCTATGGTTCTCCTATGGTCAATCCCGATAAACTCCTGTGCCTTCGCTTTTGGTATTCCTTCTAATATCTATGAATTGTATCTCTACACTAGAAATTCCACTTTCCTCTATCTTACTCCAGTGAACCGGTTTTGAAGGCATTCCACCAGTTGAGCTGGCGACTTTCACCGCTTTGCGCCTAATTCACCGCCTACGTGCCCTTTACGCCTAGTCATTCCGAATAACACTTGCCCCCCCCCCGTCTTACCGCGGCTGCTGGCACGGAGTTAGCCGGGGCTTCTTCTTCTCGCCTATGATTCTCCTATGGTCAATCCAGATAAACTCCTATGCTTGTGCACTCCTCGAATGATTTTCACTCACCTATGATTCTCCTATGGTAAATCCCGATAAACTCCTATGCGTAGCCCCTACTCGCACTGGAGTGCTTTTGGTGAAATTTTCAAAATGTGCTACCTCTTTTGTGTGCACACTTTGCCCGCCCACTAGGGTGTCAATCAGGTTGTTGTCTGTTTGTCAATCGGAGGTTTTATTGAAGCAAGTTGCTGCAAGTCATTGGGCATTGCAGAACTTCTCTCGTGCCATGTTTTGGTGCTCCTGCAAAGAAAGTTAATGAAGGAAAATAATAAAAGTATGTGTTTTGTGACTTTTGTCAATCAGGTTTCATGGAAAAAGTGGCTGGAAGCTCTCTCTATTGCCAGAAAAATGCCTCTGTGATTTTGGGGGTCTCTTGACTCGGCCGGCATGACCGTGATGGCGATCTGTTCTTGAACAAGGACAGTAAATGTTGTCGCTGGATTTGAACGAGTACTTCCAGTGTTACCTCCAAATGATTACCATTGTATGAATGGTGGTTTAAAGCACCAGTACATGACCCCAGTGAAGTTGAGAGTCCAATTGGGCCTCTCCTAAAATTTCGGAGGCTCGTGTATCGTTGGTGGAATCGACTGCAGGCGGCCTCTCAAAGGGGCCAGTGGGCGATGTAAACCACCAGTACTTGGCCCAGCGATCGATGCCAAGCCTTTGAGGGACTGTACTCCAAGCCTCCGGAAGTTGCGGGGCGTTGCGCCCCGCGGCCGATGTATGGGCCAATTACTGGTGGTTTTATGACAGAAGTGAATCTTGTGAGTCGCCTCACCGAAGTTGTTGTCTGATTTCATGCCTTCGGAAAAAAATGTGATTGTCTTGCCCAGGTTCTTGACCACTTGGTTATCCAGAAGATGAATGTTATGGGGCAGCTGGAGAAGAAGGATGTGAAGAAGAAGAATCAGTCTATGTTCGACAAGGTACGTTTGTCACGTTGCATGGTTATGAAAGTTTGCCTATAATCATAGTGTAATGTTGACAATTAAAATGATTTGAAAATTGAAATGTCATTTCTTAAATGTTCTTTTGGATTAAAAATTCAGATAACATCCATTTGCGTTAAATCACAAGTACGTGGCCCCGGCCAACTTGAGAATCATGTTGAGCCTCTCGAAAAATTTTGTTGCTCTGGGCAACTAGACCAAGAAGGGTGGTGGTCCCAGCCAAAAACAAAAATGTGGTGGTCCCAGCCAAAAGGAAAACAAAAGTGCTGCGCTGGTATTTCCTTAAAGCTTGGCACGCAGGGGGTAAATACGGTCAAATACCCCTTGTAGAAAAGAGGCCCGGATGTACTGGTGGTTTGAAGTTGGAGAACAGAAAAGTGAGAGCATTTAGAATATAGTTTAGCTAAAAAGGGTGCCTTTGCGAACGTTTAGGATAGTATTGACGTCCGTAGCATCAACATTTACAATATTGGGCCTTGCTTCACTACTCAGCACATCCAGGGGTCACCTGTATAGCCTAGGGAGTAGTGGTAGGTAGGTAGTGAAACAAATGTTCCATGACATGGCAGAACGCCAGTTAAAAATATGTGAGGTGAGAGAAAAATATATGGCTGTCCCCCGACGAGGAGAAGGCAAAAAAAAAAAGAAATAAGAAAAAAGAAAAGACGGTGTATCTTTCCGTGTTCTAGCGGAAGATTCATTCTCATTTTTTCTGCACATTTGGTAAAGGAATACAATGCATAGGTTGCTTTCTATTCGAACGCAACCCATCTGCGTTCTATTCAAACATCCGTAATTTTTTAATACAATGCATTTGTGTTCTGTTCGAATTTCGAATACAGTGCATGTGTTCTGTTCGAATTTCGAATACAACGCATGTGTTCTATTCGAATTTCGAATACAATGCATACGTCACAAAAATGAGTTATAATTGCACCACGGGTCAAGATACAGTTTCAAATTGCAGTTTGGGCAATGTATACAGCCCAGCGTTCTGGCCAAGTAGGGTGCCCTAAGTGCAATTCCAAACTGTATCTTGCCCCGTATGCAATTATTTTTGTGACTCTACTGAAGTTACCCCGACTTGCTACTACTAACCAGGGATAAAGTCCTGGTGCTGACAAATCACAAACAAAAATGATGAAAAAATTGAAAAAATATGACAGCTTGGGACGCACTAATCAAATGCAGTGAAATGGCCATGGCGACTGGGCTCTTGCCGACCTAGCACAGTAATCAAATGCAGTGAAATGGACATGCCCACTGGGCTCTTGCTGACCTGTACCATCTCATTCAGCATGGGATGTATTGGATATCTCTTGTGTGTTGACTGTCCAAAGAATGTGGAATACTGATCCTCTCTGTTAAACGACCACTACCTCCGAGCCTCTTTTTGCGGAGGCGGAAAAGAACTGCACGCCAAGTTGTGCCAAAGTGCCAGCGCAGCGCTTTTTTTTTCTCCTTTTGCTGATGCGACCAGCCATTCCGGTCCGGTAGCTGCGAGAACCCGGAATGTTACAGCTATGATTCTCGACGTTGCCTAGGAAAGTTAGTGGTGGTCCAAGGAATATGGTGTTGTTAGCATTGTTGCAAGCTAAACTGGTTGGTCCTCCTATGATAGTACAAGATGTCACACTGTCCCTAAAACCTCGGCAGTGTGGATTTGGAGGAAGGCGTACAGCAAGTCTTTGAAGATGTTGAAGGTGATTATGGTGCATCTATCGGCAGCCAGCTGTATCGTTGGTATTGCCTTGGAACTCATTTTTTTGCTCTCTGTCTGCATGCAATTCAGCGTCAGTTGCATGGTCAGTTTGATGCAGTTGTGAACGGCACTCACCGGGTGCATTTCGTGTGCGGTGTGCATGATGCATCTCTGCCAACCCGCTGGGATTGCAGAATGAGCTTGCGGCCATCTTGCGATTTGGTGCAGAGGACTTGTTTAAGGACAAGGAGAATGCTGAGGAAGGGAATAGGAAGCTGGAGAATATGGACATTGATGAGATTCTTGCGCGGGCGGAGAAAGTCAATGGTGCTGTTGAATCTGAGGGAACGAATGACCTCTTAAGTGCTTTCAAGGTAAGGTGCTATGGCTGAAGTAATCTGCATGTTTCAAGTGTTGCATCCAAGCTGTTGGCACATGCTTGTCTGGCAGGTCTCATCGGCCAACAAGCATACTGGTTGGCAACTTGGCACTCGTTGGGCCTTGGGTTCTTGTCTCTCACAGTCCTCTCTTGCCCATCTTCTTCTTCTTTTCTGTTCTTTCCCTTCTTCCGCTTCCTCTTCCTCTTCCTTCTCATCTCTAACTTATCCTCTTGTTCTTCGTCCTCTTCTCTTCCCCTCCTTTGTCTCCTTCTTGGGTCTTTTTCCTTTTGTTCCCCGCTGCCTCCTCCTCATCTCGCCATCCTGCCCTCTCGCTCGTGCTGCTTTGGTGCGCTCATCATGTCTGAATATGGTGAGGGGCTGACATTTGAACGAGGTTTTGGGTATTTTGAGCCATCTATAATGTTGAAGCAGGCAGGCCATCTGGGATGGACATCAGGCCAGTTGAAACTGCCACCCGTTTGGGTTCAGGTGGTCGGGCCTGAACGGTATCCATGGTTCATATACGTTATCCACAATTTTTTTTTTCGCTTTTGTTCTTCTTTTGTTCAATGTTTATACAAGGACGTAGTCCCTAACGTCATTTCATCCAATGAAGGATTTTTGAACTTTTTCATCTCGTAATGGGTGTATCATTCAGAGCCTTGAGGCAGGTTCCATGCCATTTGCTTGTTTCCTTGTCATGATGGCATGTTGTGGGAGGATTCTGTACGCCAAGCATCCGCCCTCTCTTTGCTCCCTTCTCACACTTGATATCATGTTGATTAGGAAGCTCTATTTCCTGTGGATTCCTTTGTGCAAGGTTGTCTAGCCCTCACAGTCTGCCGACACAAATTTGAAGGAACCCTCGGGAACCGCACCAGAACGTTCTGATACATGGAGCTGTGCCACGATCTGTAGCCTTCACGATTTTCGGGAATGTCACGTCTATCGGAATGTTGTGGGTACTGCTCCTGGACCTGAGTGTCTGTTGCTCTTTGTCCAATGGTGGCATCTTTATGCCAGCTGGCCCCTGAGGAGTGCCGGTTCACTGGTGAGCAGGATGGATCAATCGCCAGATGCTCTTCATGCTATGGCTACTACACCATCTTTTTTGTTGTGCTTCGTCAGAATATTTTAAGCGAGCTGATGTGCTCAGGTTTCTGTGCTGTCTTTCTTCTTCTTCTTCTTCTTCTTCTTCTTCTTCTTCTCCCTCCCTGTCGTGTATCTCCTTCACTTGCCTCGAGTGTTTATCATCTTTGGTTGTCTTTACATAAAGTTACATCAATGTGTGCTGAAGGTGTAAAGCACTAGGATCCTGGCCGCTCTCCACATGCACTTGCCAGTTAATCAAGAGCTGTGGGTGGGCTTGGCCTACCCTAGGTGGGTGGGTGGTGTGGTGCAGGGCGCAACATTTTTCTGTTTTTTTTTAATGTGGTCTCATGAACCACGGATCAGATATTGAACTGATCAGAACAGACACTACACTAGACCTTACCCGAAAGGCCGAGAAAGGTATAGGGAGCAACAAATTATCAGTTTCCCAACTTGGTATTTTTTCCCTCTAGTCTCCTTCGGTAAGAAGAACTGAAAAAAACTGTGATGTTGTAAAAGGGCAAAATACTTGAAATAAATCGAGAACAGAAGTTTTGAGGGTCAGAAGACAAATTTGTGTCAAATGTTACACACAGGAACGGGCAAAATGAGGCGCCAGGGTACTGATTAATCATTTTTTCTCTTCATGTTGTTATTTATGCTTGGCTATGGTCGACTAGAACATAGGAATTTCTCTCCCAGGTTCTCTCTCTTCCGGCACCATCTTTGAAAACCGTTGGAGAATATACAGGGCGTCCTATATACAAAATGGACCCTGATGCTAATGACACACGCTTAGTACTTGTGCTCATAGTCAAGATCATCTGTTGGTTCTCTGATGGCTGAGAGAGGTTTCTGAAATGTTGGACGCTGAACTGTGGAGGAAGGATTCACACAAACGCTAGGTTCTCTGCTCTAGGAGTTCTGTTCTCTCTTTCTCTAAACATATCCTTGGTCCTTTGCTTGTAGGACTTTTATCGTATGCTCTCTGTAAAAATTAGTACTTTCACAATGTCAGACTGATGCTTCCGTTAATGTCAGAAATTGTTCTTACTGCTGTAAGTAATTATAGATCCATGTCCTCCGGGACATCCGTTAAAGTTGGAACGATACAGAGAAGATTAGTATGACCCCTGCGCAAGGATGACACACATGAATCGAAAAAAAAGAGGTATAGATCCGTACGTCCAGGTCTAAGACCCTCCTCCCTGCATGTTTGTTGTTGTTTTCGTCTTTTTTTCCATTGCTCGTATTTCTCATAGTTGCGCACATCTGCTCTTTGTCTAGTATCGGCAGAACGTCAGGAATTGGTTTTTGATTTTCCCTTCTGTTGCTTGGAGCTCTTAGTGTTCACAGATCGGCTCTTGTTTAGTCTGTCTGCAGGATTAATGATAACATCAGATGCCATGCACAAACCTGTTGTCAATTGCTGTGTTTTTGTGCTCATCCTACTCGCCCTTCTCCAACCAATTCTGGCCGTCTGCCTGGAATCTTGAATCTTCCATCATCCCTTCGGTGTTAGCCCCTTTCCATCTCTTATTGCTTCCTCCCCCCCCCCCCCCCTCTCCTCTTCCTTTCCCCCCTCTGCTTCCCCTTTCCCTGTCATGTCCCTGTCACCGTCTCTCGAGAGTGTTGTGCTTTTGTGACTGTTTAGGTTGCCACATTTTGCAGTACTGAGGATGATGCAACTTTCTGGAGCCGGCTGATAAAGACGGACAGTGGAGAAGAAGAAGAAGAGGTGAGGGCACGTTTCTTCACCTTTGCTAATTATGAGGACTTTGTGGCTCAGATTTGAAGAGGATTGTGAGTCTTGTTTTGTCATTTGTGAAGTTGTGATGCTTGAATTAGCCATGTGCTCATGGATGTTTCGGATGAGTAAGTACTTGCTGCAACTGTGCTGGGGTGGATGGTCTGAATGCCATGACCGGTATGGTTAGTATCACCAGTTTTGAACACCGGGTCACAGTTGCAGTGGCAAGGCTTCCGGCTGTTATAGCTGAGGTCACCGGTTCCATTCCGCTTGGCTGCGGAACGATCAGGGCTGCAATGACAAACTTACCAACAAAGGTATCACGGACACGAGTATCAGAGTGGAGCCTGGAAGCCGGATCTTTTCGACGAGCCTGTGTTTTCACATCCTGCGGTGTTGCCCTCTCTATCGACGACCCTCTATCGTAAAAGTCTGGTTGCTGACTCAAGCTTGTGTTTTCGCGTCCTGCGGTGTTGCCCTCTCTATCGACGATCCTCTATCGTAAAACTCTGGTTGCTGAGTCAAGCTTGGTAGTTGGGTCAATCCGAGTTCTATGGGTGCAAACAGGCATCGCAGGGGTATTCTTGTTGGAGAAGGAAAATAGTTTGTTCTTTCAGGTCTCCTCTTTTCCGTAACACCAAGCAAGGTGTCTTCCAGAAACAGGCCAGGTTCTTCTGTTTCTTCAACCTCTTTTTCATGTTGCGTAATCCTTTCCCACACACACAAGTGTGGTGATGCTGCCCTAGAGGAGAAGGGGAAATTTGTTTTGTGTTGTCTCTTAGTTATTGCAAGTTCGTGGCCTATTTTTTTGACTCATCGGGAGCTTTGCCAAGTACCATTGGTTGTGTTATGTACATGCATTCTTATTCAGGAGGTACGCTGTGCCTTTGGTTGATGTGGATGACATGATGGACATAGTTGAGATGGCATTTGGCAGGGAGATCCGTTGTACATTGATTCTTGGTTCAGTCCAGGATTTTTCAGTTGTTGTTGGCCAATGAGAGAAAAAATGAAAGAGGAGATAACACGAGGGTGATGGTACAGTAACGAGATGAGGGAGAATTGTCATTAAGGGTATTCATGTAGTCTCCTATTCTCCTTCTTTTCCCACTTCTGGCTCTTTCTCTCTCCGGCTATTGTTTAATGTATTTACTTGCCTTGGAACTTCGGTATGACGCGATGATTTGAACTAGGGTCATAGTGAACAAACATTGCGTTAGTCTTCGAATGTCTGCATTAGGAAGAGGACAGGTGACAATGGCATTTTCTCCCAAGTATAGCTGAGCTCTTGGGGATGTGCTTTGTGGTTTGTATGCGTATTTTTGGTATTTGCCTTCTTACAAAGAGACAGTGACAATGAGGACCTTGGGGCGAGGGAGTGAGTGTCCTTCGCTTGTCGTAAGAAAACCCTTTTGTTGCATCTTGGGCCGGCATGGGAGGAACATGGCTGCATCTGTGCTGTTTGGCGAAGTCTCTGGGATTTTGAGCGGTGCACTGAGAGGGAATGTTCTACACTCGTTTTCTGCTTCAGGTAACTTTGCAGCCGCGGGCGGCCAGGAACGTTGCAACTTATGCCGAAGGCTATGAAGAGGAGGAGGAGAAGGCACGGAAGAGGAAAGGTGGATCGGATTACGAGAAGCCGCGGAGGAAACGGCCGGTTCAAAGATCTGTTGAACCTGTTATCCCAGCAGCACCAGTTGAAGGGGCCGCTGCCCGCGTGATTGATTGGCCCGGTGAGCCCAATGGTCTGTCGAAGAGGGATGCTCTTGCATTTGTAAAAGCGGTGAGTTGTCGGTGTGGTTGTTGGGTGAGTGTTTGTGTGTGAGTGGGTGTGCTCGTGTGTGCACCAATCACTGTATGTCTCTTTTCTTGCCTTTCTCCAACGTTTGTCACCTTCAGGGTTGGTCTTCAAACACCAATACTTCCCCCGGCCGTTTTTTCCCGATGCGACTTTCGGGGCTTGCCCTACCACACCAAAATGGCTGGTGGTGCCTGGGAAAACATGAAAAGGAACGTGCCCGTGCCAATTTGTTTTTTATGGGCATTCAGCAGATGTCAGTGTCGGGAAAAGGAGGCTCAGAAGTCGTGGGGGTTTCAGTCCAGTGCACACTGCTCTCTTGGAATGTTCCGATGACAAAAAACATTTAAAAATAAAAAAAAAGGGTTCTCACTGTGACATGCGATCACCCACAAGGAAGGAAATAAGAAAAGAAAGGACGTACTTGCAGTGGAACTCAGGTCAATGAATTTGGCTGGATTTCCGGTCATATGCTTCCAAAATCTTCTTAGTCAAAGAAAGCGGAGAGGGACAACAGGAGAGGGAAACAAATGGCTGTTTCACAGGGATCGCTTACAGTTTCGAGGGTTACGAGGAGCGACCCTCTGTCGTTAATGACTCTTTATACATGATGTTACTTCCACTGTGGATCTGGATAAACCTTTTTTTTTGGGGGGGGGGGCGGGGATCTGGATAAACCTAGTCAGGAAGGGAAGCTGATTTCTCGCCTCTGCCCTGGGCTCTATCAGTCTGCAGGGCTCCCTACTGATGCCTTAAGCCATCCTCTGGCTTGACCCTTGAGCGAAACGGTCTATCACACACCTCCACGAAGATGATGTGACGATGAATGCCCTCAAAGCAGGTGCCATGCGGCCCCTTCATGCTTTCCCTGTCCATGTGCACATGCTGTGACATCCGGTTTAACATACCGAAATATGTTGCAGACATGGAGTTCATGCTATGCTGGCAGTGTACTTTTGAGGGATAATAGGTCACAGAACACTGAGTGAGTTCTCGACCAATCAACACGATCTAGATTGCAATCTAATGCTAGATTGGTCGGACCGGACCGGGTGGGGTGGTGTCGGCTCGATTCTTTTCTTGGCCAGGCAGCGAAGGAAGCTGACGAGCGGAAAAAGGGATTTGAACCCTCAACCTTAGCCTTGGCAAGGCTATACTCTACCATTAAGCTATGTTCGTCTATTAGGCTAGTTTGGGAGTTTGCGATGAGAGGATTAAGGTACAGTGTGTACCAGCCATGGGCCAATTGCTGGTCCCATACACCGGTTAGAATACAAAGAAAGAGTGTTGTCATCGAAAAGGTCCCAAAGGTGCCAGTACCTTTCCTGGAATTCTAGTGCATCACCGATGTACTATCGAGTCTTCCTGGAGGATCAGGGCCGTGATAATCATGGAAGTCTTTGTCATAGAAGAAGGGGGCGTGGTTCTGGTGGTCACAGCTTTGATCAGATGACCACAAGCAATTGACAGGATGCAAGCGGTGGAACCTGTGAAAAGGAAGAGGTCCGGGCAAGTGGGGTATTCACTAGCTGAAATGGTGTGATTTTTTTTTTCACAAATTGTGAGATGGATTATGAAAGTTTTTGAACGGAGACTTTGTCATGCTATGACATTTGTGAAAGTCCTTCGACTCTCCTGGAATCCTTTGTGACAACAATTCTGAAGCTTCCTGGTGTTACGTTAAAATCTCAGATCGGGCTATCCCCCTCTTGGTGATGTCGAAAAGTTGCAATTATAATAATGTCAATTTTTCCTGAATTTCTATATTGGAATATAGAAATTCAGGAAAATTTGACATTATTATAGAGTAGGGTTCTGACTGTGACATGCGATCACCCACAAGGAAGGAAAGAAGAAAAGAAAGGACGTACTTGCAATGACGTTAAAATCTTAGACCGGGCTATCCTCTTGGTGATGTTGAAAAGTGCATATGGACGGAACTCTTCCTCACCATGATGTTGAATGGACATTGAGGAACACAATGTGTGATGGGATGGTTGCAGAACTGGCTGTAGGACAAGGAAGACGTGCTGTGTCACATGGAAATTCATTGATCAGGGCGGCGTGGTCATGCTGATAATGATGTGGCTGCCAACAATCGTGACGGGGAAATTCTGTCATGCGAGAAGCCAATGCAACTCTGGACTTGCTCACAACATGCACACTTGAGAACCGATGGCAAGACTGAACTCTTTCAACTAAAAAAACAACAACAATGGACTTGTCTTAAACTCAATCTTAACAGCTGCACAACTTGCGGCTATGGCCGCCGAACACGGTCTCTACCACCAGCCTCACTCTCTCCCTCACTGTCTCATGCGTGCACGTACGAGGATCACCCTGAATGTCCCCACTCAGCACAGCCTCACACACTCTGAACACTCTTCGCCAACAGCTGGGCGGCTATGGCCGTCGACATCTTCCTCCTGCTGGCTATGGCCGCCGACATCTACCCCACTGGCCAGCTATGGCCGCTGTCTTCTTCACTGCCCACTTCGTCTCCAGGCACCTGCAGACCTCCATGCACAAGACACCAAGGCAGCTCTTCCGCATGGCTCACAGGCGAATGAATGAATGGCTGGACGCTGCCTGTTTATTTATACTTCTTCGGAGGTACCCGGACCCTGCCTCCAGACCTGTGGGCCTGGGCCAAAACGTGTGGCCCAGGGAAGCTTCCAGACGTTTGGCCTTCTGGGCCAAAACGTGTGGAACTCTCTGCATGCTCCAGAACCCTCCCCACGTGCAGCCCTTACCCAGGTACATGCTGGCTGGAACCCCCCTACAGAACCCTACGGACTTCTGGAACCTACAGACTCCACAGACTTTCGACAGACTCAGTAGAGACTTCTAGAACAGGCTTTCTAGGCCTATTGGTAACAGACCTAGCTGCTAATCTACAGACATAGGGATCAAGTCCTACTGACCAAACTACAGACTAACCTAAGTCGTAGGACAGGTTTGGGGATCGAATCCTACTCAGGTCACGGGGTCTATGTGCAGGTACAGGGTAGGTCTAGGGGTCGAATCTCACTCAGCACACAGGGTCAATGTACAGGGTTAGGGCACAGGTCTAGGGATCGAATCTCTGTGACTGCAGTACAAGGTCAACTGGGTGAAACCGTTTCACCAACAATCATGACGGGGAAATTCTGTCATGCGAGAGTAGTACACGCACCATGATGGAAAACATCGTTGGGGTGATAATGATGATGGCCATGTCTGTCATGGCCCGAATGGGAGAGGGCAGAAAATTTGGGGCATGGTGTCCATCACGCATGCAAGAGGACAGAAAAAATGGGGATGATGATCGGAAGACTGGCTGACTGATGACGAAGTCTGCCATGACTGCAAGAGGACAGAAAACATGGGAGTGGCAATCACGAAACGGTGACGGCTGAAAGGCAGAATATAAGGAAATGTGCCATTCTAGCATGCATGTGATTGCTATTCCGACCATGTTCATGTCAGTGGTTCAGCCATGTGTCTTGTTTTCTTGTCAGTACATGTCAAACAACTTGTTTCCCTTTAGCATATTGCCTCAGCAATCTGTGTGACGGAAGTGGAATGAATTCATCTTCTCTCAGTTGAGGGAGTCATTCAGTGACAATCAGGATGGCCTCCAATGCTACTGACTCAGAGTCATGAGATGCTTTCTCCTGCTGAGCTCAGAAAATTTGCTTACCTCTATTTTCAGTTTTTCAGAGGCAACACTGGGCGGATCCAGTAATCAAGCTTTTAGCCTTTTACCCCTTCGACCCCTCCGTAGCCCAGAAAATTAAGTAAGGCCGAGAAAGGTATATTTGTTTACCTCTATCGACTCTAGTAGCAAGTGAATTACTCCTTTGGGCATTCAAGTTTTGATGTTCCTGGCCGCAATTTCGGGCTTCTATGAACCGAAATCATCCAGCCTGACTGGAGGGGATTCGGTCTAAGGTCTGACGATGCCGGTTCAAAAAAATGTCAAACTTGCAGCTGGGGATGTCAAAGTTAAATGGCAAAAAAAAAAAAAGAGTAAAAAAGTTGGATGTCCAAAGTCAAAGGAGTTTTCTTTCGTCCAGCTACTGGCGAAGGAACCGGGGGCTGTCACTCGCACTGCTGTGTTTTCTCATTTAATTGAATTGAAGAACTTGTCTGTGGAATGAATTCAAACAGAAGTGCATGTGACGGGTCTGTAAACTTGGTTTTTTCCTCAGGTGAAGAAGTTTGGCGATAAGAGCAGGATGGACCTGATCGCCGCTGAGGCAGGTGGTGCTGTGGAGGCTGCCAGCAGGGAGTCTCAGATTGCACTGTGGGATGCTCTTCTTGATGGCTGTGCAGAGGCTGTCCAGGCAGGATTACATGAGATGAAGGTACTGTTTGCCATATGCCATATGAGTCATGAATGTGATGGGCAATAAGCCAATCTGGTTGGCAGTACATACCTGATGCCGTCTGGAATGGATACGGCTAAGAGTGGAGCTTTTATGCTGTTGATCAAAGTTCAAACCAGGAGTACCATTTCCAGCTAGTTTCTACCGACGTGCTTTGCTTTGTCCTTTGGTTGGTTGGTTGGTTGGTTGGTCCTATGGCTAGCTGGTTGGACCTATGGATGGTTGGACATAGGGTTAGTTAGTTGGACCTAATGGTTAGTTGGTTGGCTGGACCTATAGCTAGTTGGTTGGAGCTATGGTTGGTTCTATGGTTGGTCCTATGGCTCGTTGGTTGGGCTTACGGATGGTTGATTGGTTGGTCCTTTGGCTAGCGGGTTGGACATATGGCTAGTAGGTTGGGACCCTGGACCTACGGTTGGTTGGTTGGTTGGGACCTATGGATGGATGGTTGGACATATGGCTAGTTGTTTGGAACTAGGGTTTGTTGGCTGGTTGGACCTACGGCTAGTTGGCTGGTCCTATGGCTAGTTGGTTGGAGCTATGGATGGTCGGTTGGTTGGTCCGTTGGTTAGTTGGTTGGTTGGTTGGTCCTATGGCTAGTTGGCAGGGGTTAGGTTAACTCACCTATGGATCGTTGGTTGGACCTATGGCTAGTTCGTTGGACCTTGGACCTAAGGTTGGTTGGTTGGTTGGACCTATGGATGGATGGTTGGACATATGGGTAGTTGGTTGGACCTATGGTTTGTTCGTTGGTTGGACCTACGGCCAGTTGGCTGGTCCTATGGCTAGTTGGTTGGAGCTATGGATGGTCGGTTGGTTGGTCCGTTGGTTGGTTGGTTGATTGGTTGGTTGGTCCTATGGCTAGTTGGCAGGGGTTAGGTTGGACCTTTTGGCTAGTTGGTTGGAACTATGGCTAGTTGGTTGGACCTATAGTTAGTTGGTTGGACCTATGGTTAGCTGGTTGGTTGGAACTATGGCTAGTTGGTTGGAGCTATGTTTGCTCCTATGGTCGGTTGGTTGATCCTTTGGTTAGTTGGCAGGGTCTTAACCCACTGGAACAAAATGGCGGGTAGCACCAGCCGGAAAGAAAAAATTGTGCCCGCACCTGTTTCTTTGAGAGGGTATTTGACGGTTATGATCAGATGGTGATTACCTCTGTCAGAGGACATGAATCTGGACCCAGCACTGTGAACCTGTCCAATCGTTATATCCATTTATGACCTGCGACCGTCCTCGCCTGAATAGAACGCCCGGTCATTATACCTGTAATTGGGACAATTTTCAGTCTATTGATGCACCAATAATGACCAGCCGCTCCCTGATCCTGTAATGGACAAGGGCTTGGCACGTGAGATTCATCAAGACAAAAAGAAAGCGAAAAAAATTCAGAGTGTACTATGTGACTCACATCAGTGGCTGTTATTTTCCACATTTGAAAGAAGGTAGGTAGCGTGTCGTTTGCGGAGTTATACTTTTATGAACGTTGAGTGCTTTACCAGCTTTACTTGTGGGCAATGGGTCACGCTAAGGTTGTGCTATCCACTGAGAAGCCTCTTCATAACCAAGTTACGATGGTGTCTCCTGTCCATGCAGCGCCCGTCCGAACAACTTCCTTATGCACTGTCTTTTCTACACCTGCATTCAGGCATTTACCATCTTCACCCAAATAGAACACCGGGTCATATTTGCGGTGCCAAGACTGAAAGCTGTGCCAAATACAGCTATTATGACTGGGTGTTGTATTCAACAGTAGTAAGCAGTGACATGATTGACATATGGTGTGCCCTTGCGGATGGCATCTGGATGTTTTGCTGATGGAGGTCGCAGTGTCGTTTGTTCAATCGAAAAAACGCAGGTGTCTATTCTGGATTTCTTCGGGAATCCGGTGCGAGCTGCGGAGTTCCAGCAACGAGTCAGGGAGCTGATAATGCTTGCAAAGCGCGTGAAGAAATATCCTAATCCTCATCAGCAGTTCCTGCTGAAGTCTAATCCAGGATTTCCTAGGTGGAACAAACTCTGTGGATGGGACCAAGGTACATAATCTATCAAATGTTTGATGAAACCTTTGTATGGAATCTGTATCTGTCAATGGAACCTAGGCATGGAATCTGTTAATGTGGATGGAACCCAGTTTCAAGGTCTTATCTATGAATATGGATGGAACCTAGATACAGAATCATTCACAATGTGGAAGGAACCTAGGTACAGAATCTGTTAATGGCCATGCAACCTTGGTATATAATCTGTCAATTTAGATTGAACCTATGCATAGAATCTGCTAGTGTGGATGGAACCTAGGTACAATATTTGTCAGTGTCGATGGAACCAACGGTCTTCACCCAAATAGAAACTCGGTCATTCGTGCTGCATCTGGACTGCGGGTTCGCCCAAATACAGCTTTAATGACCAGGCATTATATACGGGTGAAGACGGTAGGTGAAGAATCTGTCTGTGGGGATAGAACCACAGTCTGTCAGTGTGGACGGAACTTACGTATAGAATCTGTGATTCTCGATGGAACCTACTATCGTTACCTGAATCGGACACCCCGTCCTGGGGCAACTTTCTGTCCAGGTACAGCTACAATAACACACTGCATCTGGACTGGAAGTTGGCCCAGGTACAGCTATGATGACCAGGCGTTCTATTTGTGTAAAGACGGTAGGTGCGGAATCTGCCGAGGTGGATGGAAAACAACTTTCAGAATGTGACTGTCTTTGCTGTAAGATGCTTTCTGTAGCGGAAGACTGAGCACGGCCTCCTAGACTACCCTGACCGGCATCATTGCAGTACAGAAAACATTTTTTTTTTCCCCCTTTCCTTTCATGTGCGGGCAAAAGAAAACTAACATTTATGTGACTTGCCGACCCTGGGTCCCACCCTTGAGTTCTTCGGGAACAGGCAAAAACTCCTAATTTCCCAACACTGGCAGAGGTACTAGTGGTTTAAAGAAACGTGTTTGGAACCTAGGTGCATTGTCTGTCACAGTTGATGGAACTCGCTGATATTATAATCATTATTATTGTTATTATTTTATTTTATTTTAACCAATTCAATTACCTGTTAAATCTGGACAGGACAGCCTTTCAGGCCTTTTTTATTGTCATTGTAGTATAACGGGGAACCCCGTAGCAGCCACGTTCGTGCTCAAGCCTCCAACGAGGGAACATGCGGGAGCTGCACCCACCAGCAGGTGCGATAACTGGTACAGCAGGTGGGCTATACCGGCCAGGGGTGAGCCGGTAGCATCAGGACTGAGCTTCTTCGATGATGGGCCAGTTGCTGTGCCTCTCCTCCGGTCCCCTCTCCCTATCAACATCAGCTGTCTCTGGTAAATGCCACTCAGGGGGACCATCGGTCGCTTCCTGTAAGGTGTTTAGACAGTGTTCAAGCTTAACCCCTGGAGGAAAAAAACAAATTGTGTAACATAATAGCAGGGAAAAGTCCCGAAAACAAAGAGAAATTAGTACGCTTCCAGGGAGTCGCGGCTGAACTTCAGTTTTCATTTTTGTTTCACATGTGTTGCCTCTATTCCATAATTCTAGGAAAGGATGATGGGCTCTTCGTGAGGGCATGCTCACAGTAGGACTCTTTCTATACCAACTTCTGGATGTGATTGCGGTCAGATTCATCCGGGTCTGTCTGTAATTACAGTCATATCCATTTAGAAAGTGCTGGTGTGAGTCTGCCCTGATCGTATCGTAGTTGAGGGCTGTTTATTCTGCATGCTTGTATGTGAACCTCATCGCCAGCCAATTCCCTTCTTTTCTTTGTTCCCTCCAAAAGTGTCCTTTTTCATGCTTTTTGGTAATTGCCAGATACTTTCCGTCGTTGAATGCGTTGTCATATTGTTGCATTTATGGCTATGTTATATGTGTGTTCTGATATTGGTGCATTTATGGTTATGTCCTATGCACAGTGGATGACGCAAAGCTTCTGCTGGGAGTGTATTTCCATGGATTTGGAAATTGGGAGAGAGTCAAGCAAGATGAGGCACTCGGATTGGCTGACAAAATGTTGCCATCAGGGTCATCTCCAGACGATGTAATTCTGCCGAGGGCCAATCAACTTGAATCAAGGGCCAGTGCACTTCTTCGCAAGGTATGCCCTCGAACGTGGAACTGCAAATTCGTGGCCAGTGTGGCCACACCTTCTTCACCTGGTTGGTCACAACCGGTGACTTTGTGCAGAGCTTTCGCTTTCGCTTGAGCTATCTTACCTCCTACCCCGGAGGTCTTTGCTATCGTTGTTTGGTAAGTTTCAGGCTATGATTTGCTGGCTCCCAGCCAGCCAGGCAAGGGGGACCAGCCCCCCAGGGAAACCGAGCGGTTCAAGAAAGGGGCGGCATGAATTTGCCAAGGGGCATATAAAGTTGTAATCATGTTTTGAGGCGGGGGGTCCAGGCAGACCTTGCAATGCGGTCAACAAGGAACGAATTCCGACTTCATGCTGGACTGTCGTAAACCACGGGCACGTTTCCTTGCCATTTTTCTTCGACGCAGTCGTGCCCGCACCGCAAGTTTCAGGTGTCGTGTTATCGGAGCAAAATGGCTGTCAGCACTAGCCAAAAGGTCTCTTCATAGTTGTGATCTCTAGTTTCGGGGATAGTCCTGGTGATATCTAGTTTGTCTCTCTCGTTTGTGAACTAAACCTCTGGTTTGTCTCTGCTTGTGGTGGTCTTGCACTTCATTCATAGGTTAGACAGTGGCTACCGTCTTCAGGAGTGGCGGTCAAATGAATTGTTTGTGATGAGACAGTAAAAGCTTAATTCAACTGTTATGCTCTCGAAGATACACGAGGGAATAGGTTTTCACAAGACGGTCTTGATTCAAATGTTATGCTCTCGAAGATACGCGAGGGAATAGGTTTTCACAAGACGGTCTTAATTCAAATGTTATGCTCTCGAAGATACACGAGGGAATAGGTTTTCACAAGACGGTCACCCTTTTGACCATGCCAACGGTGTCGAACACATGGTCTAAAAGCGGACGCTCGCTCTTTGTCTCTCTCCTTCTCTCTGTGCCTGCTACGTACAGGAGCTTGAGGTGATGGACTTGCAGGCAAAAGCAGAAGAACATGCGAAAGGCGATACGAAGAGCATTAAGGGAAGAGGGAAAATACCGGGGTTCATTTCACAACCGGACAGGCGGTGGGGGAACGGATGGGACTCAACTGTGAAGGCGAAGGGCTGTAAGACCGCAATGGTAAGGGGGGAGTGGGACAGGGATAGGCCAGGGAGGAGAGGAGGGGTTGAGCGAAGTGAGAGGGCGGAGAGGGGCATGAAGAGGGGAAGGGAGGATAAGGAGAGGGATGGGTTTGGGAAGGAGGAGGGTGAAGTATCCGACAGGGAGAATTCAGGCAGGGAGAGAATAAAAGGCGGGCTACCCCTCTCAGATGACATCAAGGAGGCCAAGTGGCGAAAATGGTGCGTAGAGAAGATGATCGACCATTCGAAGACTCTGAACAAACTACGCAAAATCCAGGAGAAGAACTTACCCAAGGAGAAGGTGGGTCCTCCATTCGAGAAGCATCTTTCTTTTGTTTTCTCTTCTATTTTAGGCATTTGATTAAACCACCACCACAACCTCTCTGTTTTGTAAACAATGGGCTCAATGAACTTTCAATAAAAATGTTGTTACCATAACCTGTTTTTTTTTTTTCAAACGAAGGGTGACGGCCTTCGGATGTCGTCATTGAGATGATTGGCCCCGGCCCTCAGGCAATTCAGAATTATTTTATTCTGTTCATCTGATTGCATCGGAATTCGAACTTGGGTCTGTATTTCAACAGTTCATGCATTTACCAACTGAGCTAGGCTTATGTGAGTGAAAGTCGAAACTAGAAAAGAAAACAGACCTAGGTTAAGAGGGTTTTGGTGCAGGTCTTGGTGGTAATAGCAAATATATTCAAGTGAAAACTTTGAAGACCGAAGTGGGGAGGTGTTCCATGTCAGCAGCGCTTGGAACTGGGTCAGTTGGCCCTCAGCTATGTGGAAGCCTTGTATCGAGGGTGCATTTCGCACCGCACATCGAAAGGGGTCGGGTTAGCATTCTTGGACCGGGTTGTGGGGGTCGATGGCAATAATGTAAGCAGCTCAAGAAATGCCTGGCGGGGACTGTGGCGACGGTGCTTTTTCCTACTGGACAGCTCGTCCGGCCTTGAATGGGATTAACCAGAGATCGAGTGCAGAAGAAAGAAAAAGAAGAGTGGGGTCACATTGTTTGGTCACAGTTTCGCCGGCTGACGGAGTGCTTCATCATTGGTAGTGTGAAGAGGGGCTGACACCAGTGTTCAGATAGGTACAGTGAAAATGACCCTGGACTGTGAATTCTGTAAACCTATGGCAGAGAGAGACCACAGTGCTCGTCATGCAAGAGGTCGGGACTTGGGATGACTGAGCTGATCGCTGATTTAAAGTTTGTGTTAGACTCTGCTGAATGCTAGTGTCGTGAAGATTAACAAGAGGGAGGCAATCTGGGAGGAGGGAGGCGACGGAGAAAGAGGAGGCGAGGATGGAGGGACAAGGGGGATGATGGAGGTGGAGGCGGCAATGGTTTGTTTGAATTATTTCCCATTTTAGTATGTTGTAATACTTCAGGCGGTGCTAGGACGAGGGAGGCAATGTGGGAGGAGGGAACCAATGGGGAAGAGGAGGCGATGGAGGGAGGAGGAAGGCACTGTGGGAGGATGGAGGCAATGGAGGGAGTGGAGAAGAGTGGAGCGATTGCTGTGTTTTCATCGCCCTCAATGCTGCCGTCCACACATTTTCTTTTTTTTCCCTATGTCGTACGCACATCGCTCTGTGTGTGGATAGGGGCCATCGCTCCACTCTTCTCCACGGAGGCGGTGTGGGAGGAGGGAGCTAATGGAGAAGAGGCGGCAATGGATGGAGGAAGGCACTGTGGGAGGACGGAGGTGATGGAGGGAGTGGAGAAGAGTGGAGAGATTCCCTCTCTCTCTCTCTCTGTATCTATCTTCACTCCATCTATGCTGTCAGCCGAATGTTTCTTTTTTCTTTTCCTATGTTATACGCACATCGCTCTGCGCACGGATAGGGAGGCTTTGCAAGTCCTATGTTTCTTTTTTTTTCCCTATGTTATACGAACATTGCTCTGCGCACGGATAGGGAGGCTTTGCAAGTGCAAGTCCTACGGAGAGAAAGAAGAAGAAGTGCAGTTGGAAGACGAGGTGGAGGCTGTCGCATGAAGGATTGCGACGCCGCGCCCTGGACTCTCTCTCTCTCTCCCTCTCTCGCACTTCCACACACACACAGGCACATGCGAAGAAGACGCGATGAACTTGCCTCGGGCTATGGTGGACGGTGAGGGGCAGCTTTGACGACTGTGCCCGCACGAAAAGGGGATGCCCATGCTTGAATCACCATTTTTTTTCGAAGCGGGCTCACTGCAATTTTTGGAGGCCCCGCCGAGCCTCTAGCATCCCCCAGGACCGAAAAGAGGTCGAGAAAGGGGTTAAGGTTGGCGCTAGAAGGGCTCGGGACCCCGCTTGGTTGTCATGCCCGAACGGGCACCTATGTGCCCTCCGGAGGGGACTGCTACCCCGGCCCCTGGGATTTCATCCTAGGAAGTGACCTGAAAAAAAGGTGGAAGTGACATAAGCAGAAAAAGAAAGTATGAAATCTTCTCTTTAGGTTCTGGTAGGCTTCTGCCATATGAGTTTGCGAGTTCAGCGAATCATTGGAAATTTGTTGCCATGTGCGGAATTTTTGAAGACGATGGAAAGGAACCAGAATGATGCTCCCTGGAATGGACAAGGATCCATAACCATAAGGGCTAAAGAACAATCTTGTTTGCCCGGGGTCCCCGCCGTGCAAGGGCTAAAGAAGCATAAGGACCTGTCCATTAAAAAAAACAACAACAATTGATCTAAACAGCCTTACCAACTAGGCTAGCGGGCTGCCCGGGTCACCTTGTTTCCCGGGGGTCCCCTTCGTGCAAGGGCCAAACAAGGTCCCAGCAAAAAAGAAAACAGAAAAAAAAAAAATAATTGAAAACTTTTAAAAAACACTATGTTATGCAGAAAAATAAACTGAGCAACGTTTGCCTCACGGTCACATCAAAGTTCTTTACGGTTTAAAATAAGAAAGTTAATTTTTTTTTTTTTTTTTTTGGCCCGGCAGGGCAAGCACTCATGGGCCACTCTTGTAGCCTAGGTCACCAAGTTCGTTCGTAGGACATAATGCAAATGGCTAGGGCTTTGCTAAACGGGTTAATCCATGTGCGATAGAGTGATGAAGACAAGGGCCTTGCTCTCAGATTTGATAATGAGTAAATCACAAGTGCTTGACGATCTCAGATTTGATAGTGAGTAAATCACAAGTGCTTGATGATCCATCGGCAGTGGTCTTCAGTAAGCCGGATGAATTAATGAACGATAGCTTTATGCATCTATTACTCAATTCCCTGCACTCCTTTCAGGCGTCTTCTCAATTTGATTGAAATTCAATGATTTAATCAATGCCAACATACAGAAATTAGGTCTATTCAAAGTACGGGAGGAAGATCTCGGTGGAGCAAACATAGGACATGGACTATGATAAACTAAACGATAAGGATGCATTTCATAAGTGGTTTCTTGGCTCCTTTGTTTTTTTGTCTAATTTGTAAGACACCCGATAAACATAATCGTTATAGAGCTTTGACTACAATAGGCAGAAAGACATTATTCATGAACAGATCACAAGTCCGGATGAATTGCATTGAACAAAATGCTGCTGCCTACTCTCTTTAAGACCAAGAAAGAAAACAAGGAAGGTCTTTAAGAGACACGGCAACTTTCAAGCACTAAGGGATCTGTCACTTGGTGTGTATCTCTTTCTAAAACTCCCATAGGCTGTTGAGAAGGTTGGGAAGTATTTGAAGCGGATTGGAGCATGTATTGAAGGAATCATGGCCAGGCATGCAGATCAACCCCCAAGCAAAGCCAGAAGTAAGTTTCTCTCATCTTTATATTTTCCCTTTTTCTCCCCCCGAATGCCTCTCATGTGCAAGTCATGCTGTGCTTGCACAGTTATTGTTTACTCAGGGGCTGTCTTATGGCTGCCGGGAGGCCCCTCTCTTTCTCCCTCCCTCCCTCCCTCCCTCCTCTCTCTCTCTCTCTCTCTCTCTCTCTCTCTCTCTCTCTCTCTCTCTCTCTCTCTCTCTCTCTCTCTCTCTCTCTCTCTCTCTNCTCTCTCTCTCTCTCTCTCTCTCTCTCTCTCTCTCTCTCTCTCTCTCTCTCTCAGTGTGTGTGTGTGTGCGAACTATGTGCATGAGGTCAAGGGTGTGGGCAGAGAGAGAGAAAGTCGTTATTTTTTCACTCATATCATCATATGTTGTTAGGAGAGGTTCACCTGAGTGGAGATGTGGATTGGGAATGCATTCAGCAGTAGTGCAAGTTATTCATCCTGCTGGTAGATGGTGTGCATGTCAAGAACTGCCAGAGTGAATGATATAGCTGTTGTCCAACTTGAAAGGATTTCACGCTGTATCAATGACCGAAGTCTCGGTCTCAGAGTTGCAATTGATCTGAGTCCCAGATAGTCCCAGTCCCACTGGTTCAGCTAAGGGTCTAGAGGCCGAAGCGTCGTAGGGTCCAGTAGGGAATCCGTTAGAAGTCGAAGGTTCAGCGCCTGATAGGTGAAGTCTTGCAGGCCCGAAGTCCAATTTTGCAGCAGCATCCTGGGGAAAGTCCAGTAAGTTCTGGAACTGGCAAACTGCAGCAGACAGGCCGCATGGACACCAGTCAGGAGCCGACAACAATTCACTTCAGCAGCTCAGCTGGTATTTATAGGTGCTACAGTGCTTCATCTGGTCACTTGTCAATCCACATGTTGCGGAAGCCGGGTGGAAGTCGGTTAGTAGAGAGTTCTACTTGGCGAGTGCATTCATAGAACGAGTGTGGCAATCCAAGGGGGAGAGAGAGAGAGAGAGAGAGAGACAGAGAGAGAGACAGAGAGAATTTCCTGTGTGGTTTGAACAATGATAGCGATCCTGTGTGGTTTGAACAATGATAGCGACCATAAAGAGAGAGAGAGAGAGAGAGAGAGAGAGAGAGAGAGAATTTCCTGTGTGGTTTGAACAGCGATAGCGACCATAAGGGCTTATAAAACATACTCGGAACTTGTCTAAACTTGCCGCATTGAGAGAGAATCTTTGCTGTTTGGGATGATGACCATCTCTCGGGTGCGTTGGGAGCTTCGTGAACTTTCGCTGGAGATGCATGTCAGGGTTTGCTGTTAGATTGCTGTTGTTTCATTGCAGACATGCACAAAAATGAAAGAAGAAAGATTGAAACCCCACCCTGGGTAGTTGGTACATACCCTGCATGATTAATTCAAAATGCAAATGAATGGTAGAGGTGTGGCTTGAGATCTTCTCTTTTAATACGAGTTACTTCTCTTTCCTTCGCTGTGCAGGAATGTGGCGGCACCTATGGGACTACGTTTCAACGTTCTCGCCATCGTCAACAGGTTGTCGTCTTGGCGAACTGTACATGAAGTTAAAGAACAGTGATTCTCGACCAGGGAGCAGTCAAGAACTACGGCATCAAGCTCCACCACCACCACCACCTCCTCCTCCTCTTCCCCCTCCTCCTCCTGCTGCAAATATTCATGCTCAGCCACGGGGTGGATTCCCGTGCCCCCCTCCTCCAGCAGCTCACACATTTCCCCCACCTCATCTGCATGTCTATCCGCACCCTGCTCCGCCCAGCATGGCAGGTCCTGGACCTGTCCCTGTGCAAATGGGAGCAGCTGCTCCTGGCATGCACGGTGCAGGGCCCATTCTACCCGAACGGCATCAACACTCTCATCCTCCTCCCCTCCCGCATCATCACCACAACTATCGTCCACCGCTTCACAAGCACCCGCCTCTGCCGCAGCATCCTTATCCCTACCATCAGTATCATCATCATAGGGGCATGGATGGCCGGGAGAGGCCATCTTCAGCTGAGGGACGACTAAAAGACGGTGAAGAAGCCCATGCAGAGGCATGGAAAAGGAGACGGAGAGTTGATCCTCGTGATGGAGGTCCTGGTCCTGGCGAGGGAGAGCCTAGAGGCGGTGTCTTTGGCGTCTCAAGCGGGGGGGGGTATGGTGGGAATTTTGGCCGAAATGGAGCTGAAGGCAGGGGTTGGGAAGGTCGGCCAGGTAGCTCTGATGGGTGGGACAGAGGCGCTGGCCCTAATCGGTTAGGGAATGGCTCTTGGTCGGAGGGGGGTCCAGGTGGGCCAGGCGGACCGTATGGAATGCCTATGGAACGAGATCGGCCAAGGTGGGAGGAAAAACATGTGAGGGGCGGAAGAGAAGACGGGTGGAGGGCAGATGGCAGAGGTGGCGGGGATTGGGGTGACCACAGGAGGGACAGCATGCGGTATGGAGGCGGCGGTCCTTTCCCTCCGTACGGTGTAGGACCCGGTTTGCGCCACGGCGGACATCCTCCGCCACACTTACCTCATGCTAACTCCCAGCCCCCTCCCCCTCATCTACCGCAACAACCTCCTCCTCCTCCCCCTCACGCTCCTCCAGCTTACTCGTCTCATTAGCGACTGCTGTATCAAGAGCTAGTAGGAAACAGGTAAGAGTGTGGAATTGCCTTTTTTAAACGTTAGGTGTTGTTATGTCTTTGTTGTGGACAGGAATTACTTTCATCGTCATTGAGGTGACAAGTAACTTTCCGTGTTGATTCATGATTAGGTTGTTGGAACATTGCTTGCCTTCAAGGCCACATACATGACCACTGATTCGATTGAAGGGCAGGAGACGTTGCGTTTTGGACTCTATTAATGCCACAAAATTGTTGGTAAGTTTTGCTTCCGGCCTCTCTCGGGCGAGTCTGGGTTTCTGTGGAGAGACGGGTTGGCGTCGAGGGGGAAGTGCACATTTGAGATTGTCTGTCTTCTTCGTGGATGTCCGTTCATCGTCTCTCTGGTATTGTTGAAGGGTGCATGTGATTCTCTTCCTCTTGTACCTAGTCTTCAAGAAGGGAAGATGCATGCTTCAGGGCACACTCACACTAGCACTTTTCTAAATGTATCTGACCGCAATTCTCGCTGGAGCTGGATGCATCTTACTGCAATCACGTCCACAGCTAGTCCAAAAAAAAGTCCTTGTGTGAGTATGGCCTGAGTAGGAGCTTTTTGGTATCATGCTAAATCTACCTCCGTTTTTAAAGTCAAGATTTCTCTTCCAATTTCATCTTGCCTGACTCTCTTTTGGTCACATGTTTTTTTTTGTTTTTTTGTTTTTTTTTGGGTTCACATGCTCGTGTTCTTATTAGGTTTAAGTGACTTGCCAGCTACATTCTCTTTGCGTTTCCTCGTTTCCTGTATTAATTTATTCATGTCAGTTGTGGTGATTCCCTCCCTCCAGAAAAAAAAAAAAAAGAAATAAGCGTCATACGACCCCCCATAATATCATAACTCTGGACAGGCAGTCGACTCTAACACAGAAGGGTTATTCTGTCATCATTCTGGCTAGGGAGGGGCTGCCCTTTGGTCTGCTTCGGCACAGCTTGGCTGGGTTTATGTGTCGCTTGAGCGAGGGGTGGGTGTTGGGTTTGGTTGGGGGGGGGTGGGGAGGGACCAGGAAGGGGGAGTTCAATGGGGAGTGCCTCAACGACAGTCGTGATGACTTTATGGCTGTGATGGAACGAAGTGTTGCGGTGAGAACAATTACAGAAAGGATGATGTCAAAAAAGATAGAGAGAGAAAAGAAAAAGAAAGGACAATGTCATTGTGAAAAGTGAGTGGTGTGAAATCGGTGAGTGTGGTTATGCCTAGACATTGGACTGTAGAACTCGTGAAGTTGGGGACCGGTTTTTCTGCTCGTCCATTTCTTTTGCTATTGTGGCTGTTCTGTGTGTTGCTGCCTCTTCCTCTGGCATTGTCAGTCATTGTCGGTTCCCAAGGACTGCCATCTCTCGGGCGGGGGGAGGGGTTGGGGGCGGGGCGGGGTGATCTTCTACGGGGATGTGAAGATTCTCGATCGAACCCCACCACACACACAGCAGTGGCCATGATGACAGTTACTTACCGAAGTGGCCATGATGGGCAGTTGTAGAGGCTAGGACAAAGAATGCAAAGTGCGGTCAGGCAGAACAGGTGCCATGACACCCGAAATTGATATCTACCTCGATCGCAGCGTCGCTGTGAGGGACTACTACCTGTGCTCTCTGAGTCTCTGCGATGATGGAGTGCTGGAAACAATAGCCACATCACACAGCATCTTAAGGGCATCGCCACACGGGACATGAAACAAAAGTGAAACAAGGGCATCTGCCCAGGAAAGGTGGCAAACTACGCTCGTTACTATTTATAGCAAACGGATGCACCTGGCCATTTCCTGTGGGAAGATGCAATCGTTTCGTTTTTCCTTTGGTGTGCCGTGTGGCAATGCCCTAAGTGTGGGGACCCACTGGTCTTGTGTTCATACGCAGAAAGCAGGAACCTGGTAGTATCACCAGCATATATTCAGTGGCCCCCAGCAAGCCTGCCGTGCGGCGACACCCGAAGTGTGGGGACCCACTGGTCTTGTGTTCATACCATACTTGCGGCGCACTTAACTGGTGCGCCGTGCGCCATGCGCTCACGGGTGATGTGTGCGGACGTGCGCACCGCGCGCACTGAGCGCGCACTGGCAGTGCGCTGTGGTGCGGCCGAGTGACCCCCATGCCTGCGCACCTGCGGATGCCTTGCTTTTTTTTTTTGTTTTGTTTTTGTGTGTGTGTGTTTGTGTGTGTGCGTGTGTGTGTGTGTGTGTGTGTGTGTGTGTGTGTGTGTGTGTGTGCCCTTGATACAGGCGTGTTTGTCTGCTGTGCCCAGACATCATTCCCCTGACACTATCGGGMCRAACAAAACGCCTGTATCRACGGACACTATTGATTCTCGACAGAGGGCGTTTTGTTCAGCCCTATAGGYCGTTGCTTTTCCTTTTTTTTTTCTTATTTGTTTTTGTCTTATATTGGAAACRGTTACAGCCTCGCTCCACTGCTCTACACATGCACAAAAGACTAAAATATGGCGGTGTATCTTTCCATCTTGTAGCGGAAGATTCACTCTCATTTTGCACATTTGGAGAGTGGTGGAGCGAGGGCCATACAAAGGTAGCCTGGGGCCTCGCTCCACCACTCTCCAAATGTGCAAAATGAGAGTGAATCTTCTGCTAGAACATGGAAAGATACACCGCCATATTTTGTCTTTTGTGCATGAGTAGTGGAGAGAGGCCCTTACATCGCACCTGACTACAGCTGGACTTGCAGCCCTCATGTGACAGAGGGCCTCGCTGCACTAATCTCGAAATGTGCAAAACGAGAGTGAATCTTCCGCTTGAATATGGAAAGATACACCGCCGTGATTTTTGTCCGTTGTGCATCTCGAGAATAGTGCAGCGAGGCCCAGAGGCCCAACGGATTCTGGTGGCAGGTTCGACTACTCTCCAATTTGTGCAAAATTAGAATGAATCTTTCACTAGAACATGGAAAGATACATCGCCTCGTTGTTGGTTTTCAACTTGTCACGGACATTCTCTCTCTTTTTTTTTTTTTTTTTTGTAGCGAAAGGACGGAGGAGACAGCTGTCAGTTCTGTCGTTTTCTATACGTGGAATGAGACAAAAGCAAGGGTTCCACAGATGCGTCCTCATCATGACCGTATTGGACCTCGGAAAGGGCTCAGATACACTGAAGATAGCATGGAGTTGTGTACAGCGAACACGACGACACACAGGTTTTAGGTTTTGGGGCGGCGCGGTCCTGAAAAAAATTTGCGCAGGCAATGTCCTAATTTTGGCTGGGCATGGGAACTTCAATTCACGCCCTCCCCAACTTTTTTTTTTTTTGGCTGACCCGGAATTTTCCCCATGCGGCGCGCAGGGTGCGCGCGCCAGGTGCGCAACGCGCAGTGCACCGCACGTGCGCAAGTGGCGCGCACGGGATGCGCCGCAAGTATGGTTCATACTCAGAAAGCAGGAACCTGGTATTAACACCAGCATGGATTCAGTGGCCCCAAGCGTGCCTGCCGTGCGGCGACACCCTAAGTGTGGGGACCCACTGGTCTTGTGTTCATACTCAGAAAGCAGGAACCTGGTCTTAACACCAGCATAATAGATTCAGAGGGCCCAAGGCGACACCCTAAGTGTGGGGACCCACTAGCGTCGTGTTCATTCTCAGAAAGCAGGAACCTGGTGTTAGCACTAGCATAGATTTAGTGGGCTTTTGTTGAAGGGAAGAAAGAAAGGAAAAGGCGTATGCGCTTTTTGCATTGAAAATCAAATGGCTATTCCGTCCCATTTAGAATTATACGACCTTTAACTAAATCTATGTCTCGTCAGTAATGAGAGGAGAGGAGGATGAAATCCTTTTATGTTTTTGGGGGATAGACATTGAATCACGAGTACCTCCGAGCCTCTTTTTCCCGTCTTGGAGTGGTCTGAATGATCTGCGCTGTCTTGCACTTCTCGTGCTCAGCATAGCTGGATGACGCACATATACGTCGATCGAGACTTGCCACCGTTCGTTAGACACCCGGACGAAAATGCTTTCCGTTGACCGTACAGACGAACCTTTACATTTTATGTCCTTTGGCCTTCATCCGATCTTCTTGTGCTCAGCATAGCTGCATGACGCACATATATGTCGTCCGAGACTTGCCACCGTTCGTTCGACACCTGGACGAAAATGCTTTTGGATGACCGTACAGACGAACCTTTACGTTTTATCAACTTTTATGTCCTTTGGCCTTCATCTCACCGTTCGCAATCAAGGTCTATAGAGCATATGCTGCTTTTCCGTTTTTCTTTGCAGTTCATTGACACAGGTGCCTTCATCTCACTCTACTCGAGGCCCACTGCTCGATAAATCACGACTGCTAGATAAATCACATTTGTAATTCTGGGCCCGCTGCTTGGAATTCTGCTTAGTGTAAACATCAAATCAAACTGCAACTGCAACTTAGGCTCGCCGGTCAGATTTTTTTTTTTTTTTTTTAACAATTTAGACGGTTTCTCGATTAATGCGTGTCATCCTTCCGCAGCGGCTATGCTAATCTTCTCTGTATCATTCCAATTTTAACGGATGTCCCGAAGGACTGGTCGGTCAGATTTTTTTATTCGTCTGTTTGCTTGCTTTCCTTGCCAAGACTGCAATCACGCGGAGGTGGTGAAATGGTTTTATAAAATTATTATAAGGGATGCTCATTGCTGATTATTTAAAACGCTGATTTTTTTCTTCGTTTGTTTGCTTTCTTTCCTTGCCTATTCTGCGGTAATTCCAGGGTGTTTCCCAGCATGGTATAGAATGGGGGGGGGGATGGTTGATAAGGGATGCACAGTGATTATTTAAACCTGAAGTACACGGCCCCAGCCTTGCAGAAAGTTTTTTGTCGCCACAAGCAAAACTCGGAGGGGCCGCGCGGTGTGGGGTGGCGTTGAACAAAGAAAAGAAAAAACCGCTTCCAAAGTGGTGCGGGTTTCATGCTGACACCCGCCCGCCCAGGTGCGGTGTACTGGTGCTCTTAAGGGACGCTGATGATGATCCACACTGCTAGGCTGCGCTTTTGTTTTGTTAATGTTCTGTTTGGAATTACAGGTTTTGGCGGTGGTGTGACATGGAGACATATGACAACAGACAATTAATGATCTTAAATGCAACTGTCACCATCAGCTGATGTGTCTGTGATCAGAGAACTTGTGATCAGAAAACTTTCATCACTTTGACCTACTCTCGGATTACCATGATCGCCCCTTCGACCTACTCTCGGATTACCACGATCGCCCCTTTGACCTACTCTCGGAGTACCACAATCACCCCTTAGACCTACTCTCGGATTACCATGATTGCCCCTTTGACCTACTCTCGGATTACCACAATCGCCCCTTTGACCTACTCTCGGATTACCACGTTCGCCCCTTTGACCAACTCTCGGATTACCGCGATCGCCCCTTCGACCTACTCTCGGAGTACCACAATCGCCTAGTACATTCAAGATATGTGTGGAGTGTTGTGGATTAGCACTAGCTTTTTGTCCGGCACCGACGATTTTTGAAAACCAGCAGTTTGGTATCCACAAACTTCACTTTATTTCATTTGA